GAAGCTCCCAGACTTTCGGGGGGGATCCAGGCAGATGTGTTCTCCACTCAAGGCGACGCGCCTTGGCGCGTGGAATGTGGAAGGAATGCGTGGGAACTGAATTATAAAGCTAACGCAAGTGCCCGAACGATGGGAGATTGCACCGCCGACGCATTATGCATTCAGGAGACGCAGCTACACGGGGCCGAATATTTCTTTGCAGAAGGACTTCTATATTTCCACTCAGGCGAGACGAATGTGGAATCCAGATACGATGGAGTAGAAGGGTTCGTCGCATTACCTCGCGCGTGTTCTGCCGCCGTTGCTTTCAAAGCTATCGGCCCAAGAATGGCCGCGCTCAGAATCAAGGTCGTCGGAGGAATCACGGCGCTCGTTTCCGCATATGCCCCCCGCAGCGGGCGCGGCCCAGAGGTGCGGCAGGCGCGTTGCGCAGACGTCGCACAGCGCGCGAAGCCAACAGCGCCGCACAGGTCTACTGTCGTCTTGGGGGTTTACAGCGCTAAGCTGTTATTCCGAGGAGCTGGAGACGAAGACGCTATTGGAGGACATGTTTTCAGAGGAGCTTCACCTGAGCGACGCGCCCCACAAGTGACGAACTGGCATTTGTTGATGGAGTCGCGCGCGGGCAGCGACACGGCGATCGCGAGCGCATTTTTCGAGGGGGGGGGGCGCCGACAAGATCGCCTGCCGGAACTTTGGGGGCGCAGCCGATGCAATCGATGCCGCCGGAGTTTTTCACTCAAATCGAGCGCGTTTCACGCCGTCCTTCGATCTCTGCATGCGCGGGAGAATGCAGGTCTACACGGGCAGCCCCCCTTAATGCGAATTTCAACGATCCCCACGGGCAGCCCCCCTTGAGTCTCGTTGAAATTGGAATTTCAACGACCATCACGGGCCGGCGCGCCGGAGAAGAAGAATGCTGGTGCTCTGGCAGACAAGCGCGCCCAGGATATCCTCACTGCGGCATTTGCGAATGCCATCGTGGACCTACCTCTGGCGCCTCTCTGGGCGAGGCCGCGGAAAATGCGCGGCAAGCTTTCGGCGCCGCAGCTGCCGTTCGTCCAGGCTGCGAAGCGCGACCGCGGAAGCCGCGGACAAGCGCGTCTACTTCGGAAGTCGTCGCCGAGAGGAACGCCTGCCGCAAATCAGGGATTGCAAAAACGAGCTCCGGCTACGCAGACTGACGCGGCAAGCTGGGAGGAAAGATCGCGCGGTTTGGTTGGGTCGATTAGTTTCTTCTGGCAGTTGGGGCGCGGTCGCGCAACTGCGAAGACATGCCCCTCGCAAGCGCGTGGGCGGCAAAGACTCGAGCGGGGAAATGTCCGATGCTTCGGCCAGGCCGGACACCCTTGCAGAATATCTCGAGGAGGTGCAATGGCGAGTGTGCCCTGCCGACGCGGCGCCCGCGGACGCCGAGGTGCCGGGCGGCATTTTGGCGATCGACACAGTTTTTCTTAGAAGAGCTCCGGGCAGCGATCAAGAAGATGAAGAATGAGAAAGCAGCTGGGCCTGGCGACTTTCCCGCGGAGTTCTGGGAAGTTATTGCTGGAGACACGCATGCCTGCGGGGCACTCATGCGCGCGCGCCAGCAATGCCGGGGGGGGGGGGGGGGGCGAAAAAAACAGGCCGCCCACGTGGGGGCGAGCCAACGCGGCGCTGTTGCTCAAGAGAGGGCGCGCTGCTGCGCCGAGCAACTGCAGACCGATATCCCTTCTGGCCGTGGGCTACAAAGCATTGGCTTCGACGTTGCACCAGAGACTCTTAGATGGTGGGTGCGAGCGGGGAATGCGAGAATCTCAATTCGGTGTCCGCCCAAATCGTGGCGCGTCAGACGCCTTGACGTTAGTCTTGGGGATGGTGGATGCAGCTCGCATGAACAATGGGGGCGGCTTATTTCTTTTTATTATTAAACTGGGCGAACGCCTTCGATCGCCTGAAGCCCGACAGCACGCGCGTGGCCTTGGAAAGATTTGGACTGCCACAGCCAATTGCCAACGTCACTCGCGGGATATACGCAGAGCGGTGTCTTGCGATTGTTGACCGCTGTGGGGCTTCTTCGGAGAGGAAGCAATCTGCAGATATCGCCCAAGGTTGCCCCCTCAGCCCCCGCTTGTTCATTGCTGTTCAAAGCGCGATGTCGCACGACGCTGCGGACTCGCAGAGCTGCAACCAGGGTCAGATTATGTTGTCACCAGGGGCATCTTGCACGCAGACGACACTCCCTTGGCGTCGCAGCACCCCGGGAGTTTACAGCTCACGCTTCATCCATTATGTCGGAAGGACGTGAATATGACATGGATTTCAATTTTGACAAAACAGCGCATATGAAACTGTCATCAATGGGGGAGGTGAGAAGACCCACGGGCGAAAACATCACATCCGTCAGGGATGCAGTTTACTTGGGTGGGCTCATTTCTTGCGACGGAAAAGCTTGGAGTGAATTGTCTCGGAGGTTGGGAACAGGAGCGGACATCATCAAGCAACTGCAGAAAGTATGGGCTCACGCCGCCATTGGATGGAAAAGGGAATATGAGATTTACCATGCTTGCGTCTTGAGCAAGGTATTGTACTGTTTGGAGTCAGTATGGTTGCTCGAAGCCGAGAGAGCGCGATTGCACGCATCTCACTGCAAATGTATCCGGAAGATATTGGGTATTCCGCCGTCGTTTATTTCCAGGGTCGCCAACGCGGCCGCCCTGGACAAGGCTGGTGCGGAACCGCTTTCTGACGTATTATCTAACAGACAAGTGGCACTGTACACCAAGATCGCAAATTCAAGTGGATCTTGTTTGACGAGAGCAATACTCTGCAACGCTGACGGCTCTCCCAAGCAATGGGCTTCCCGCAGGAGGCGTGGGCGGCCGCGGCAGCGATGTGCCACTTCGGTGTATGAGCTTTTTGTAATTATAGACAGTATCCCGTCTCTCTCCTCCTCCTCCTCCTCCTCCTCCTCCTCCTCCTCCTCTTCCGCCTCCTTTTCCTCCTTTTCGTACCTCGCTGCCAGTCTTGTGCTTCGCAGTCGGGCGCTCCATCCTCTGCTTCACAGTCGGGCGCTCCTTTGCCTGCCTCAAAGTGGTGAGACGCTCCTTGTTTCTCTTTGTCACTGAGTAATGCCTCGCTGCCCGTCTCTGCTTCATAATCGGGCGCGATATTCTCCTGCTTCGCAGTCGTGGGGCGTTCTCGCTCTGATCATTTTCCTGAAGCGTCGCCAATCGTGCGCTCTTCTGCCCACGCGTCCTTCCGGATGCTTGGCTTCGTGGTGGTGGTGGTGGAGGATCTCCCGTATCCCAATCTGACTAATTGAGGGCGCCTTTGCATTTCATGTGGCGAGCGGTTTCTCCTCTCCTCTCCTCTGTGGGGGGCGGGCGGAAACCCTATACGGTTTCAGCGTATTCCCGATTCTTGCGTGCGAAGGTTGCCGACTCATGGGCGCGAGCATATGTTTTGGCGAAGACCGCCACCAGCTTGTGTCCACTTGATAAGGGGCTCATTGTTGGCGTCGCCGTGGGTCATGTCCATCTGAGGCAGCAGGATGGTTGCCCAGCAGTGGCCGTTGTCGGTGTTGAGACAACATGTATTGTTAGGCATCGTACCCACCTCTTCCGCATCTGCTCCGAAGGCCCAAGGCAAGGTCAGTGGGGATGTGCCCCAGGGGGAACGGATCGACCCCAATCGCCCAGCCATCTCCGATTAGGGCTTTGTCATCCCAGCCCGCCCAGGAACGCTTGGTGTTGGCATTTGGGGCCCATATATATATATATATATATATATATATATCGGCGACGCACCGCCGAGATCCCAGCTCGACGCTTCGCCCACTCACTCAGCAACAAACCGTGCGTCGTGTTGCTGTCACGCCGCGGAAGGTGTCTGGGTCCAGGGCGCGCAGGAGCCCTCCAAGGCGCCCAGGCTCGGACCCCGTGATCTTGCCGTCTCGTGGTCGCGCTCGGAGATTTGACGGCGCGCCCTGGCATCCTCCGATCAGGCGTTTTCCAAGCGCGGCCCCACGGGTTCAGAAGGGAACGAATCATAGGCACAAGCTATCTTCGATTCCCCTGGCGAAAATAGGAAAGCATGGAAAGTGGAGGGGAGGATGAACATCCAGAAGATATGGGAACTTGTAGGAATCCTTGGATTTGTTTGTGTTTATTTGTGTGTACCTGGGCGCCTTCAAAGCTTCGATCCCCGTCCCCCAGGGGTAGTTTTGCGTTCCAGATCCGCCTTGAATGCTCCCGCGGTGCCCCGATAAGGGGTCCTCGAGGCCGACATCGAAGGAGAACGTCGGGGTTGTAAAGAATCATATCCTCGGAAATCTGAGGCCGGAGCCCGACAACCTTCTGCGGACTTCTGGCCGGATCGATACGCACAGGGCCCCAAAGGCCGCTGGGCGTGGGTGGCAAGTATTTTTTGTGTATGAGAGGGATAGGAAAATAATAGAACGAACAGCAAGATATCATGACTGTAATTTGTTTGCTTCAAACGGTTTGCAGGATTTCCAACATTTTCTGATCGTGCGGGCTCCAGATACGACGATGGCTGCTCCATACCCCTGGAATGCCTGGAGCGCACGCCTGTGCCAAGGGATCACTATCCTTCTACTAGGGCGGTTGCTTCCAGATTTTTCAGGGTCGCCGGCCGCGCGGATAACCCAGTTGGCCCAGAGGTCTCGGCTTATTATCCAGAACCGGCTTTTCATCGCCAGTTGTTTTTTGACGGTCCCGGGGCCCGGCGAGGGCCCCCAGAGGCTGAATACAGCAAGCCGTCCGCCATGTGAGCATCGCAATAAAAAAACAGGCCGATCCGCCCACATCGGCACAAAATCAGCCCGCGCAAGGTCGCGCGTAATAAGCATCCTCTTCTCCAATGTTGTGTTCTGCCTTGGCGGCCTGTGTAAGCTACCACGAAGGTCGCTATGCCATCGCGCATCAGACCTTTCTTTTTTCTCGCTCATGTTTTTTCACGGGCCAGGGGGTCGGGGTGGGCCGTGCCCCGCCGGCCAGGTCCGACGCGTCCTCGAGGGCTGCAATCCGAGCGACTACCGCAGCGTCTTCGGCTTCCCCTTCGGCGCGCGCCCCGACCTGCAGGCCGCCAGGGTATCCGCCGCCTGGCCCGCCGACTGGCCGCCGCCGCCGCCCAGGCGTGTTTTCCACCATCACCACCACCATAAGTTGGAGGGGGGAATGAGGAGGAGGAGGAGGAGGAGGAGGAGGACGAAGAAGAGGAGGAGGAGGAGGACGAAGAAGAGGAGGAGGAGGAGGACCCCCTCACCCTCCAACTTCTGGTGGTGGTGGTGGTGGTGGAACACAGACCCATCAACAATCGAACTTCAACCGTACCGATTCTGCCCGAACTTATTTCGATAGCCGAGATGAGTAATGTCCATCGGAATTCGATCGAATTGCCCATGTCGATCGTCGAGATGGGTAGCTACAGAAGAAGTGGGTTCAAAGACCGAGGCCTCGTGGGGGCCTCTTGGGGGCCTCTTGCGGGCCTTTGGGGGCTTCTTGGGGGCCTCTTTGGCCGTCGTAGGGCGTTCCAGACGCCGTCGGAAGCCGTCTTGGAGGAACCGACTTGGGGCACTCTTTGGGCACTTCAGGGCCGTCTTGGAGACCATCTTGGACGTCTTGGAGGCCTCTTGGGCCGTCTTGGGGGCCCTTTTGGGGCCGTCTTGGGGGCCTCTTGCGCCATCATGGGCGATCTTGGGGGCCTCTTGGGCGATCTTGGGGGCGTCTTTGGTGATCTTGGGGGCCTCTTGGGCCGTCTGAAGGCCGCAAATGCTCAAATTACGAAATCCGTCAAAAACCCAAGGCAAATCAATGATTCGGGCCTCTTCGAGCCTTCCTGGAGGGCCTCTTGGAGGCCTCTTGGGCCGTCTTGGAGGCCTCTTGAGGGCCTCTTGGGCCGACTAGGGCCATCCTGAGGCTATATTAAGCCGTCTTGGGTGCATCTTGTGCCGGTGCCTTCTTGGATGCATCTTGGGGCCATTTTAGCCGTTTTGGAGGTCATCTTGGGCCAACGTGGCCATTTTGGAGGCCATCTTGAACCGTCTTGGAGGATTTTTGCGGGGACGTTGAGGTCGTTTCTGGGCCTTCAGCAGGGCCGGCGGGACGGGCCGAAGCCCCAGGGAGAGTTCTTTTGGAACAAAGAGCGCAACAACAAGAAAGGGTAGGATTTAGCACGCCGGGCACCCTTGTGGCTAGACAACGGGGCGGCGAATCTTGGAGGCATCTTTTGGCAAGATTGAATTCTCTTGGGGCCATCTTGGCCGTCTTGGAGGCATCTTGTAAGCAATCTTGGGCCATCTTGGCCGTCTTGGCGGCCATCTGGGGCGGTCTTGGATCCCTCTTGGGGCCGTGTCGGGGGCCTCTTGGGCTGTCCTGGGGCCATCTGCGAGACCTTTTTGGCGCTCTTGGTGCGATCTGAATGGCCTCTTGGGCTTTCTTGGACCGTCGGAAGGCAGAAAAGGAGCAAACCCCCAAATCTTTTAAAATCCGAAGGATCATCGATGAATCTTGCCTCTTGGAGCCTTCCTAGATGTCCTCTTGGAGGCCTCTTGGGCCGTCTTGGAGTCCTCTTGGGGGCTTCTTGGGCCGTCTTCGGTTATCTTGAGGCAATCTTGGGCCGTCTTGGGTGGCATCTTGGGCCATCTTGGAGGCCTCTTGGGAGATCTTGGGTCGATCTTCGGGGCCTTTTGGGCCGTCTGAAGGCGGTAAAGGCGCAAATTACACAATCCGTCAAAAATCGAAGGACAATCAATGATTTGTGTCTCTTCGAGCCTTCCTTGAGGACCTCTTGGAGGCCTCTTGGGCCGTCTTGGAGGCGTCTTGGGCCGTCTTGGGTCATCTTGAAGCCATCTTGGGCCGTCTTGGAGGGCATCTGGGGCCATCTTGGAGGCCTCTTGTGCGATCTTGGGGCGATCTTGGAGGCCTCTTTGGCCGAGAAGGCGCAAATGACAAAATCAGTCAAACATTCAAGGACAATCAATGATTTGAGGAGCCTCTTCGAGCCTTCCTGGAGGACCTCTTGGAGGCCTCTTGGACTGTTTTGGAGGTTCTTCAGGGCGTCTTGCGCCGGCTTAGGTCATCTTGTGACAATCTTGGGCCGTCTTGGGTGGCATCTGGGGCCATCTTGGAGACATTTTTGGGCCATCTTGGGCTCTCTTGGGGCCATCTTGGGCCATCTTGGAGCCCTCTTGGGACCGACTTGGGGGCCTCTTGGGCCGTCCTGGGGCAATCTTGGAGGCTTTATGGGCTTTCTTGGGGCGATACCCTCTTTGGCCGTCGGAAGGCTGAAAAGAGGCAGCCCAAAAATCATTCAAGATCCATAGGAAAATCAATGAATGTGGCCTCTTGGGGCTCTCTTGGGGGGGCCTCTTGGGGCTCCCTTGGGACGCTTTGGCGGCCTCTTGGGCCATCTTGAGGCAATGTTGGGCCTTCTTGAGCCTTCTGGGAGGCTTCTTGGACGAACGTCGAGGCATCTTGGACTCTCTTGAGCCGTCTTGGAGGCTATCTTGAGCCGTCTTGGAGAGTTTCTTGCGGACGTTGTGCTCGTTTGCGCGCGATTGTGCGGACTTATGGTCCCTTTCGGGTGGCCGGCACGCTGGGCCAGAGCCTCAGGGGGAGTTCGTTTGGAAAAGAACCAAAACCAAAAACGGTAGCGTCTAGCACGCCGGGCACCCCTGTGGCAAGACCACAGGGGGCGGCGGATCTTTCGACCTTCGGCTCACCCCGCCACCGTGTCTGGGTTTCAGGTCAGAGACCTTTTTGGAGACTTGTGGGGATCTCATGGGAGGTATCTCGGGTGCTTCTTGGGGCCGTTTTCGGGGGCCTCTTGAGGGCATCCTGGGGCTTCTTGAGGGCCTCTTGGGGGCCTGCTGGCGGTCTCGGGGGTCATCTTGGGGCGGAGGGCTTGAAATGCATGTTCGAGTTCTCCATCTTTGGGGCCTCTTGGGGCTTTTTGATGGGTTTCTGTGGCCGTCTTGAGTCTCTCTTGGGCCGTTTGGCGGGCTTTGGGGGGCCTCTTGGGCAGTTTTGGGCCGATATCGGGGGCTTACGGAGCCGTCTTGGAGCGTCGGAAACCCGACGAGGCGACATTGCTAACATCTGGCAAGCAAAAAGCATGAGACATTGAATGATGTTCGCCTTTGGAGGACCTCTTTGGTGGCCTCTTGGAGCCCTCTTGGGGCGCGTCGTGGGCCTGAGCTTCACCCCTGCATCTGGAAAAAGCACGCGACAACACGCGGCGATCGTTCAATGTTGAATGAACCACGCGGTGTCAGAAGTCAACGCCAGGGTCGTCCCGATACGAACCTGCCGTATTTGGAGAATGGTAGGGCAGAAGTGTCAATCCCACAGTCCCTCAGTGCACGAATCAACGACGTGCGGCCGTGCCAGCCAGCTCGTTGCGACGACGCCGCGTGCGATCCTCGCGGCGAAGTTACAGGAAGCTTTCTGGGGGCACAGTGGTAAGGTTTTCAGCCTTCGGCTGCCGAGGTTTCAGCCAGATGCATGAGCTTTTAGTCGTGGCCACCCTCGTATGTCTTGATTGCGTGCATCTGTGGCGATTCATTGACGATCCCTCTTCTAGCATTTCATATGTGCACCACCCTTTTCGTTGGCGGCCTTCTTGGCCGGCTCGCGCCCCCCGCTCTGGCGAAGGCTGTGCAGACAAAGTACAGACACATCATGCGCGTTCTGCATCCAGACAAGCGCAGCGACAAGGACGGCAATTGCATGCCGCACCGCTTCAACCTCCAGTTCTGCTCTTCTTCCTACCCCTTCGTCCACCAGTGCCCTTTCACAAGGCAGGCTCGCTGACGGGGGTCGTCTCGGGATCTTTCTGTCATGCCTTGTGGTCCTGCGACGTCCACTCCCAGGCCACCTGATCGGTGTGGGCTGCAGCTGGCTCTCTACTGCAGCAATTGCTGCCAGGCTTCGTATATCTGTTTCGTGCTGCCCCCCCGGCGTTCGAGTGCCCAGCTGGTTCTGCAACGACGCACTCCGTGTGGCGACCTTTCGATCACCGCCTGGCCCAGAAGGCCGTCAGCACGGGACGCCTCCTGTGTGTCGACTTCTTGAGGAGCTTCTATGGGGTTTATTGGGCTGTCTTGGATGATTGGCTTGTCTTCCACCACCACCATAAGTTGGAGGGGGAGGGGGTCCTCCACCTCCTCCTCCTCCACCTCCTCCTCCGTAGCCATTTTGGCTCAAGGTTAATGTTTCCCCTGGGAACAAAGTGGATACCATCGCTAGTCCGCGGCCAGACCCCCGTCACCTCCGCCAGGTCCGCCCCTGGTGTGGAGAACGGTGCCAGTGCACCGTTTCGCTCTGCTCGCTCCCCTCTCGGTTCGGGGAGGACTTCGCTATGCGTAGCTGGTTCCGCCGCGAGGGTGTTTGAAAGTGGGCGTGCAGGTTTTGTACGCATCCGACGACGGGGAAGCCGTGGTGGAATGGTGCTCCGATGTCCTCGTGCGGCAAGTGTGGGAGGCGCAAGGGCATCGCATTCGGCGCCAGCGTCGAGCCGCCCACGCCCTCAGTGTCGAAGGCCCGCCAGCGCGGCGCCGACGAGTTCCCGCGGCACGCGGAGGCCAGGAACAAGGACGAGACCACCGCGAGGCTGCAGCGGCAGGTGCAGCTGCTCGAGGCGGGCAAGGCCTCGGGCGACGCGATGGCCGTCGAAGAGGGTCAAGGGGCTGCGAACGACGGCCACGCCAACGGTTCGGAGTTCGACAAGCTCAGCGACTGCGAGCCGCGGGCGCGCATCAGGAAGTACGAGGAGACGGCGCGGCAGCTGGAGAAAATGGACATCGGATGTGACTCGGTCTGGCATGCAACGGCCCCGGAGGACGTGCGCCGCAAGGTCTCCGATGCCTAGCGGCGGCCCACTGCCAGCAAGCCCTCCTGCGCGCGCGCCCAGGAGGTTGTCGAGAAGCAGCGCCGGCTCGAGACCGCCATCGCCAAGCAGGAGGCCTACCCAAGCGGTGCGAGGAACGCATCGTCACGGCGACCAGGCTGCGGGACGAGGCGAGCGAGGCGTTGGCGAAGCAGCAGGCGGAGAGGCTGGAGCTGGCGGCCGAGCTGCGCTCGCTTGCGACTGCGCAGGCAGCGACCCCGTCAGACGCGGCGGCGGCGCCGTCGGCTGCTTTCGAGGCCGACCCTGCCAAGCTCATTGCCCTGCTCCAGGACCTCGGCATGGAACTTGCGGCGGCAGCCGCATATGCCCCCCAGGTCGCCGCGCGGCCTGGGGAGTGCATCAAGGTCACCGCGGGCGGCTCGGCGGCTGCCGCAGCGGCTGGCGGGCCCGCGGATGCCCCTGGCGGCGGTGGGGCCGGCGCCGCGGCGGCTCCAGCGGCGGCGCCACGCCAGGCCAGCGAGCCGTGCAGCTCCCGCCCCACGGTGGCGCAGGCGGCAGCGCCGCGCCCGACGTCAGCGCGATGTCCCTCGACGAGCTGGCCCGCGGAGCTGGCCGCTGCGGGGGCCGCTCAGGCTGGCGGCAATGTTGATGCTGAGCTGGCTGCCGTGCGCGCGATCCGCGAGCAGCAGCGCACGGCTGGGCCACACTGATTGGGTGGTCGCCATGATGACGAGCGACCACAGCACACAGGATAGGGCTGGAGTGCCCTGTTCGGAGGAGGCGATGGCGCAGGAGCTGCGCGGCGAGATGGTCCGCGTCATGCAGGAGGCTGGCGCGCAGCCGCAGGCGGCGGCCGCAGGCGCGGCGCGGCGGCGCGGGTGCGCCCGTGCGAGGGCAGCCCATGTGGCTGCGCGGGCCAGCGCACCGACACCGTGGCTGTGGCGCTGGAGGCGATCGACATCGAGCTTGCTGGTGTAGGAGGGCTCGCAGCGGCTTCGGAGGCCGCGAGTGTGGGCTCGTCGGGGCCCCCGGCTTCTGCGGAGGCCGCGCGGCCGAGTGGGCGGCTGGCTGCGGCTGCGGTGGCCGCGTCGCAGGACTTGAGGATGCGGCGTGGCGAGGTAGCCAGGAGGGCCGCGGGGGGCCAGCTCGCCGAGCACCTCGCGCGCCTCCCCGAGCCAGGGGCAGCTCCTCGACCACTCCATGGCGAACGTGGAGTATGCGGCGCGCGCCACCGGGTGCGACGTGGGCCTCCTGGGCGGCGTCGAGGTGTTGGCGGGGGCTGCTCGCGCGGGCGCGCCCTTCGACCCGAGAGGCGGCGGGCGGCGCGGCCTAGGGGGCCAGTCGTGGACGGCTGGCCGAGGTTGCGGCGGCCGCGTCGCTGGACTTGAGGGCGCGGGGCGGCGAGGCAGCCAAGGGGGCCGCGTGGGGGCAGCTCGCCGAGCACCTCGCGCACCCCCCCCAAGCCAGGGGCAGCTCTTCGACCGCCCCATGGCCCATGGCGAACGTGGAGGACACGCGGCGCGCTCCGCCGAGTGCGACGTGGGCCCCCTGGGCGACGTCGAGGTGTTGGCAGGAGCTGATCACGCGGGTGCCCTTCGGCCCGTGAGGCGGCGGGCGGCGCGGCCTGGGCGGGCCGGCCCCGCTGGGGGCGGCCCCCCAAGGCGCGCGATGTGGGGCGGGCAGTTGTGGGGCGCCTTGCGACGCATTGCCCCTGGGGGCGTCGGCGGCCAGCGGGGTGGCTGGAGTCGGCGCGGGCGCGCGGCATGCAGCCCCGCGGGCCAGCCGACTCGCCGACCAAGGTGCCCGAGCAGGGACTGGCAGCTCTTCGCCTAGCCAGCCCGCCATGCGCAATCGCGGGGCATGTCTGCTGGCGCCAGGCGCCACGCTGCCGTGGGCGCTGCAGGATGATCGGGCGAAGGGTGAGAGCGCGGGGCCCCCCTCGCTCGTGGCGCCGCGCCCGCGGGCCCCCGAGGAGGGGCGGGCGCTGGCTGCAGCGCGTGGCGCGGCTGCAGGGCCCGCGCGGGGTGGCGCGCAGGCGCAGGTCGCCGCCCCTGGCGCGGCGGCGGCGGCGCAGATGCGCCCGCGAGGCGGCGGCCCAGGTTAGGAGGGGTCGGCTTGCAGGGGGGGGCGGGCGCGGGGGGGGCACCAACGACCGCGACGATTCCATCGCGGTCCGCTGCCCCTTCCCGGGACTCAGGAATCCTCCGGGCCCAGTCGGCCTCGCAGTCGGCGCCGGCGTCGCGCCGCCCGCGAGCGCCAGCCGGCGGGCGGGCCGACCTTGTTGCGCATGTTTGGCGCGAGAAACCCGCGCAGGCCTCGCGCTGTGCCCGCGCCCCAGGGCGACGGCCCAGGCCCTTGTAGCCTCCCGCGCTGACGCGATGGCCTCGCGCGCGGCGCAGGAGCGGGCGCCGCCGACCGTTCGGTTCGGTTCCGCGCGCTTCTCATGCGCGAACGCAAAGCCCCCCATGCCGCTCGCGCGCTTTGCGCGCTGAGCAGCATGGGGGGCGACGGCCGCGCGTTCAATGGGAAACCGCAACGCAAGTTTCCATTCCCGCGCGCGTGGCGGGGTATGAACTTACAGATGTGCCGACGGTCGAGAACTCGCTCGCGCGCGCACGCGCCCGCCATGTTGGGCGCGCGCGCTGGGCCCGGAAATCTGCGGCTCGGCCGCCCGATGCGCCCCAAAAACCGCTCCGCCTCCCCCCCCGCCCCCCTCCCCCTCAAAACTCTTCCGCGCTCCTGGAAAAACCGCGCCGCCGAGGCGGGGGCTCGGGCCGCGGCCCGATGGTCCCCGGGGCACAGGGGAATCAAAGGAATCAGTACGGAATCAGTGCAGAATCAAAACAGAATCGGCACAACTGCGACCCCTGATTCTAGCGGGCGGAATCAAATGAATCAGCACGGAATCGATGCGGAATCAAAGGAGGAATCGGCGATGGAACCAGAATCGGCCAGAACGGGGAAGTAGGCCAGAATCGGTACCAGAACCCATGGAGAGAAGCCTTTTTCCCGCGAGTTCATTGCGGCGGGTCCGCGACGCGGGCGCTCCGCGCGACTTCGCTGGTCCAGCAAGGCGCGCAGTCGGCGTTCAGAGTGAACAGGTTGTTTTCAGGGCGATACCTGGCGGCGCGCTGGCGCATTGCGCATTTGCGCATTCCTGGCGGGCTGTTTGAGGGCGACCCGGCAGCGTCGGCCGAATGGCCCGCAAATGCCGCGCGGCCGATCGCGCGCCCCACGCGGCCACGTCGACCGCCGTGTGCCGCGACGGCCGCGCGCCCCGGACCGCGCCATTGCCGCGTTGGATTGGACGGCGCAGCGCCCGTCCTCCAAAAGTCGTTGCACGCATATCGCGCGTGTCGAGCCAGCAGCAATCGCTTCCCAGAAGCAGCCTTGACAGGCGCCCCATGCCCGCTGTCGCCCGCTTCCGATCCAAATCATAGTTTCTTAGGATGCGCTTGCGCGAATGTGAGCGCGCGGGCAAGTAACGCGTGCGCGCTTGGCGCAGCCTGGGGAATCCAACATGGAGCCCCCCGGGGGCGCGGGGCGCCGGCGACGCCTCCGCCCGCCTCCCGCGCGCCCGACCCCCCCCGCAAGCCGACTCCTCCTAGCCCAGGTGGCCCAGCCCCAGGTGCCCGAGCAGGGGCTGGCAGCTCGTGGCCCAGCCAGCCCGCCATATGGAATCGCGGGGCAGGCCTGCTGGCGCCCTGCGCCGCGCTGCCGCGGGCGCCTCAGGAACAGGCTAAGGTTGAGAGCGGGAGGCCCCCCTGGCTCGCGGCTCCGTGTTCGCGGGCCCCCGGGCCGGGGCAGCGGGGGCGGCGCGTCGGCCCGAGCGGGCGCGCGGCCTGATCACGACGGCCACTGGCGACCACGTG